CTAAAAAATTTTGACAAAAAAGAATTTACGCAACAAATTTATAGTAAATATATATTTTTTGTCTTAATACATTTTAGTATTTTTTTTTAATTAATTAGTATATTTTGCAAAAAATTATTGATCCTTAAAATTTATAAAATTCATAAAATGTTTAGTCAAATAAAAAATTTTAACAGATTATATAAATGAAAATTTACTTTGATTGAGATAAGAAGGATTAGGATATAACTTTTTTAAATTTCATTCGAATTTTCTAGTTGTTTATTTAATAATAATTGCAATATGAAATCTAATATTATCATAACGGAATCACTATTAACCCTATATTGTATGAATTTTTATGAGTTAAAGAAAATATATATGGCTGGTTATTTTACTTAAAAATGAATGTGGTCATGAAATAAATAATAAAATTTTATTAGAAAATGTTATTTATTGCATTTTATAAGTGTTCCTGTATGAGAACTTTATACATATGCATATTTTTCTATAAAATATTAACGAATGTATCCTTGTACTTATTTTGGATCAATGTGAGAACACATGAAATTTATGTCAATTGAGAATGGAATAATAAAAGGTTAATATCGTTTGAGAGTCCTATTCGCGAGATTTATAATACTATATTAATAAATACTATATTACATACTATATTCGGAGAAATTTTATAAAAAAAACTCTTTTTAATAAAGAAAGATATTATCTGAGAAAACTGTCTTTGAGAATTTGCCGATACTTGTATATTTTGACGTATATATTTATGATTATATATTTCAGATTAGCTGAATCGATCCTAATAGTAACATATTCCAGACGCGATTGATTCAAATACAAATAACATTGTTCTGATTCGAGAAACTATAAGAGAGATGCGCCGATCGGTTCCTGTTTATCGTGAGATCTTTATATACAGATCACTATCCAAGCGAGAAATTTCCTTGAATTTGGTATTGCGAATCGGATATCTGCAGCAATATTATTGATGTGCTCTATTGAGAAAATATACCCTCCCAATTGAATTAAAAAGGCATTTTTCTGAGGGCACGGATGTCACTTATTAAGAAGATTTCATTGTGAACACATCGTAGTTTCACCATCAATAATCACATTAGTTTTATTCTAACACCTCATCGTACTCTGATCGTGGGACACGATTATCTGTGACTTTGAGAGACCTTGCTTTCTGATAGACATGCGCTCCGCACGTATAACTACAGTCTATTCATCTTTAAGAAGTATACCACTTGTTACGGCATCTGTCAAAGAGCATTCGACAAGCGTCCAATTATTAGTTTATATCCACCAAAACTAATACAATACTATAATATTATTATTGCGGAGGCAAATAAATATTATTCATTGATTCATAACATTTTTTAAATTATTATTAAAGTACAATATCTGTATTTATGTGAAATTAATTTTTATTTAATTTTAAAATTTATTTTTTAATCATTACAAGAAACAATACTAGATAGATAATATAAAAAACAAGATTTTTGTATTTAAATACAGTCAGTTATAGAAATTTTCATGACAATATCTTATTTAAGTTTGATTAATAAATTGTACTATCAAAATAATAATTTTGTTTATGTATATAACATTCTGTTTTATATATATAAAATACTATGATAAATAATGAATTATATATGGAATAATATGTTTATCATTAGAATATCACTTTGAGATAATAAACCAATCTTTAAAATTTTAATATTATTTTCGTTTTTTAAAAATATAACTTCATAATGATATAAAATAAAATCAAATTTTAATGCTTTCTATTGTAAAAGATATTTTCAAAACTACATACGAAAATAAAATACAAAATGAAGAAAATAAATTAGAATTCGAAGATTAATATCATTGAATTTAAATAGATTTCCAAAAATAAATTACTTTGTATATAATATACATTCTATATATACAGATTTTCAAATTTTAAATATTATCATCATATTTCTCAGATTTTTTAAGATAAATTTCTTTTGTAAGTTAATGTATGAAGATTTTTTTTTTGTATATAATATCTTTCGTGTTTTATCCATGATCTAATTACATGAAAATTAAATTAAATTAATTTGCAGATAGTTAATACACATCAATTTATATAATTATTTATCATAAATATTTCATTTTTTATCATGTTGAATTTGTAAATGACCAAAGAAATGTAGTTACAAAGATGATTTTAAGTTATTTTTATCATTATTGTTATTATTAATATGATGAACATAACAATTCTGATAAATATAAGAGTTATCAAAAAATATTAATATTATTATTATCGTTCGTAATAATTTAATTTTTGATAATTCGAAATTATAATGTATAAATAGATATATATATATATATATACAGAACAACAAAACAGAACAGTCATATTCTTCTTTGTTTTTTGAATAAATATGATATCGCTTAGTATAAGTAATTTAATTTTTTAATTATAAGTAAATTAGTATCATGTAAATAATTATAAATAAATTAAGGGACTATAAAAAAATCTATAAATAAAGAAATATTATAGGAAATCAAGTATTTATCAGATGCAACAATATTGTTTTATTATTAAAAAAGAAATACAATTTAATCGATAAAAATTAAATTTTAATATTACATCTATTTATTGAATTTCTATTTATTATTAACGATTTTTATTATTAAAATATGTTATCGATAAAAAATGTTATCAATTAGTAATAAAAATTTATCAGTCATCACTTCAAATAAAAGATAGAGCTTTTAAGCTTTTAAGCTTTTAATGATAAATTAAAATATTATTAGTTATTATTAGTTATTTAATATTTAATATTTAAACATAGAAAAATGATATTTCAAATATGTGACAAATGTGAAATAATTAAGAACTAATTTATTATTTATTAGATAAAAATTAGATTTTTAAAAATAATTATATTTTTTTTTATTCTATTTAATTTCTATTTTTATTCTATTTAACAACATTTAAAAATAATCATAACATCCTTGTATATATATTTTTAGTGTATAAAAAATATATTCAGGTAAAATTTTATTTTTAGAAAAAAAAATCATATCGGTATTTATTGTATCTTTAATAATATCGATTAATCAATCTTGAATATATTCATAATACTCAATTTTTCTACTGAAAGATAGAAATTTATGAACTATTAGAACTTATGTGGAAAAAAAGTAGTAATGTATATTAATTGTTATTATTTTTTATCAATACTAATACTATATTATATTACATAGCTATATTATATAATTATATTAGAGCTTTAATAATTTTTTTAATAATTAATTTCTTCTTATTAATATTTGAATCAAGTTTCTTTTTCAATTATATATTTAAAGAAAGAATATGAATAATTAGAATTTAAAAGCAAATGATCTTTTTTAGAATTTTTTTTTTGAATTAAATTTGATATTATATGTAGACTAGACATAGATATTTTTTTATATAACTTTTATTATATTTCTTTTGTTGTATTATATTTGTTTTGTTTTTAAATATTAATAATAGGATTAGAATCTTGATATGGTATATAATATGATTTTTTAAAAAAGATTTTTGATGAAATGAAATATTTTAATTCATATGTAATTACGAAATATATTTTGAATAGTTGGATTAAAATATGTACTTTTGTTATGTTTTATTTATATTATACATACAGAATCCGAAAATGTTGAAAACATCGATAGAATCGGATCAAATTGGAAAACATCTTAGAATTCGATAATTTCAGAATTTTCAAGAATTATACAATTATAAAGAATAAAATATAAATAATAATCAAATATATGATATAATTATTATAAAATGAATATTTTTAAAAAAAATTTTTTTTTCACTTTTCAAAAAGTGAAATCTTTTTAAAATAAAAACTAATTTCAATTGTTCTCTCTTGATCCGATATTTTCAAATTCTTGCATATTTGCTTGCATAGTAGTTAATAACTTACATGATCAAAGAATATTTCTATTTTTGAAACCAGGCTTTAGAATGTTTGCATTTAAGAGATTTGAGGACAAGTGATGAACTCATTTACATATACATTTACATATACATATGTTTATCTTATTATATATATTTGATAAGTATCTATCTTGTTTAATAGTTTAAAAATGTCATAAAGATTTTATACATAAAATGTAAAATATTCATAAATTCATAAAACATCTTAGAATTAAAATATATGATTAATAGTAAAATATATATGTAATTATTAGATGATATAAGTGGGAATTAATGCATGCCGTTATACTTTATTGATATTGATACTATGATTATAAATTATTATATATTTTGTTTATAATTTTATAGTAAAATTTAATTATTTTATTTTAATTATTTATTTTAATTTCAACAATTATTGAATAAACACTGCAATTCTAGATTGAATCAATGTCACATGTGAAAAAAATTATAGTTAATTATATCAAATATAATATCAAAATATATTTCATTTTATATTTATATATATATTTTTTTGTATTTATACTAATTTTGTACTTTGTCTGCGATATCATAAAATATCATTCAATATGATATAAAGAGATATCTAAATTCAGAATTCTTAATAGTCTAATCTAAAAGAAAAATAAAAGAAGTTCTACTAACCTGCAAGTGTATTCGTGTTTCTTTCTAACTGATCGTCGAAAAAAACCCTTACAACCGTCGCAAGAAGCAGCACCATAATGTTTACCAGTTGCGCGATCACCACAGATAGCACAATGTTGTGAAAGTACGCCACCTACTCCCGATCCTGATAAAGTAAGAACTGAGCCTCCAGCTGCGCCTGCACCCATGCTCAGATCAGCATCTAGAAAAAAATGAATTTGTATTTATAATATATAATATATATATAAATTTAATTATTTTATTTTAATATAACATAATGTAGTATTTCTTTATTTATTTATATTTATGTATATTTACTCAATATGTAGAAAATAAAATTATAATATGTTTGAATATTTTTGTGACCATTATTTAAAATGCAATAATTTTGTAATAAAATACATAAATAAATACATAAAAATAAAAAGTACATATATTGTGATCTAAATCAAAAATAGGCAACAAAGTTGAAATTAATAAATATTAAATTTCATTGATGCAATAAAGAAAAATTTTGAAAAATTAAATATAAGTTTTAATAATAATTTATATATTCCCATTAGAGTTTGTTAATCTTTATTTTTTATAATGACGGTAAAATATTAAGTATATTTATGTTTCAGTATATTTCCTTTTTTATTAATAGCAATAAATTTAAAAGAAAATATTTTATAT